ACTACTTGTTCAGTCTTCACATCATTGTGTCACTTGTGCACATCAAAAAAGCACTTTCTCATTCCTTTGAACAAGTTCTAAATGCTTTGGTACATCCATGCAAATGATTGTGTACTATTCTCTGCTGTTTCCTACATTATCAGTTGCTTATGTCATGGTGAATCTTGACTTTCTCTAATGAAGGGAAATGTGTGTCGCATTACATAGATCAACCAATGATCAACCAGATTTCTGAAATAGCTCAAAGGTTCATCTTATGAACCATCAACTGGCAAGTGTAGAGGAAGGCTGCACTGTAATTCCTACATCACTGCATGTACAGTTTTCTGTGAGGAGATTGTTCTATGTTCACATTTCTACTTTTGTTGTTGTTTTTTCTTTGTGCTATGCAGTGCTGTCTTTTCCTTTCTGTATCGCAATGACACGGTCTGTCAACAAATTACAGTACAAACAGCAAAAGCCTAAATGTGAATCTTGTCCAGTCTCTTGCAATCAATCTCCAACATACACTAAGGTGTAACTCACAATTTACAATAATTGTCATCAAAACTTCAGCCATAGTTTACATCAGAACATCCCTCCAGAGTACAGTTACACTGACACCATGACTAAACAACTTGACTGTCTTATCCATACACACTGACACAAGGACTTGTCATTCTGATGGCGCTGACATGTTCATTAACTGCCTTTTGCAGGTGATCCATGGTGTTTTGCTATTCATATTGTTTTGAGAAATGCACTTACTGTTTTGCAAATGTCGAGGATGATTCGAGAAATGTACCAAAGCGACTGAGAAAAACTGTAATTATCTGTCAAAGATCACATTAAGGAACTGACTATGAAACGTACGCTTAAATTAGGCTTCTTATTTTAGAAGGGTTAGGTCGAAAACTGTCTGGACAACATTCTTATCAGCACTGGAACAGACAGATGTAATTTACATGCATGCTGTTTCCCAAACCCTCAAGCCTCGTGATGCTGTCTGACAGAGTTCTCTGTGTGTGTGTGTGTGTGTGTGTGTGTGTGTGTGTACCGTACACATGTATTTTCCTATTAAACTTGGCCTTGTGTACCATATTGTTGTTCCTGTTTTTAAACGTATATTTTCCATTTATTGTCAACAGTCTTGTGTATTCTGAGCCAACGCTCCACACCACTGAGGTGCTGCACCTGGATGACCTAACTGTTGTGCCGATTGCTATATCAGATGAATCAAAGTCCAAGAAAAACGTATTGTTTTCTTCTCCCTTCTTATTGTTAATTACAGTTGAGCATATTTCCCACAAGACACAGCAAACAGTGACATGCAGAATCACAAGTAAATACAGCAAAGTAACAAACTGCTTCAGTGCTGATAAGACTGTTTACCTTCTGGGTTAAACACCTACTTATTATTAGCACCTACTTATGTGGCGCACCGAAAAAGAAAAACATTTCCTGTATGTTGGGCTATGTGTTGACGAAATGAGTCAACTTCCCTAATGAACTTGCTCTATGTCGTAACAGTACATGAAACTCTCAGTGAAATTTCAACTGAAAGCCTGTGGTCCTGTTGTAGATGTGTTGTGAACCTTTCGCAAGAAACGCACACACTTGAAGGAACAGTGTTGACATTACCTATGGACTTTAATGATAAAGATGGGTTTGAACTGTGAGCAGGTTGCACATAAAGCCAAATTTAGCAGGTGGCTTTTACTCAAGTTACTTAAGACTTGACATCTTGCCATTGAAGATGATCTTGATCACTGGAAATCCTTCATTAATTTTTTTCCAAATGAACACTCTTGCCATTCCAAATTTAAGACATTTTTACCATTGCACACCTTATTGGGTAATTCTGTTCCTCAGGGTTGCCAGATATTGCAAAGAATGCAGCAGGAGAGTCAGCAGCTCCCCAAAAAATCAGTGGATGTCTTTCCCACCATTAGTCAATGTGCAATATTTATTTCATCAGCTGACTTTTGAATAGCGATTGCCTTAGAGGAGGAAGAATGATTGCAGTCACGCTTACTTAATTAGACAAATTAGGAAGTTGAGAATCAGTCTTGTAGTGCAGCAATTCATGTTCACATCGATATGGCTGTTCATCTCAGCGCTCTTCTTATCCTGGCTGGACTAACAGGTCGGTGTCATGGCTTTTTTTTTTTAAACGGTTTTGCCCATTTATGATCTTTTAAGGTCAGGTGATGCTTTGCAATAACCTGTAATCAGAATCAGAAAGGTTTTATTTCCAAGTGTGTTTTCACATACATACATTGGTGTTTGAGTGCGTAACTGTTTTATTTCATAAGTTGTGAAGACATCGAAACTTTAAAATGCAAAACATTTAGGTTTTAGAGACTGTTTGTGTAAAATGTTGTGTTTGTTGTTGTTGCAGGAATTTCTTGCGTAACTACCATCGCCGAAGTATCCGTGAAGACTGACAACTCAGTCACTATCCCCTGTCTCTATGACCGTCAATACAGAAACAACGTTAAAGCCCTGTGTGTAGGATATTATTGGATCTCCTGCAAATTTGCAGTTAGAACAGATCAGCCAGATAGATCAGGAAGGTTTTCCATCTCTGATGACAAAACCCTGAACATTTTCACTGTGACTATGAAACAGTCGGCAAATGAAAGAATGGTTTACTGGTGTGTTGTGGAGATTGATAGAGGATCAGATCGCGGAGAGTATTTTTACCTGTCAGCCACCACAGGTAAGTGCCCTTCTTTTTGCACCTTTATTAAATTGTAACAATTTGAAGGACAAACCCTAAATAAGGTCTTAATTTTTGTGACACAGGCTGTTTGTATTTTTACTGTCACTTTTTCAATCAAAGCTTATGTTGTAGAATAAATGTGAAGTCTAAAGGCTACCAACGATTTTCTCCTTGTTTTCCATCAAGGTACGCCCAGTCTCTATGTGGATAATCAGGAGGTTACAGGATTTATTGGAGAAGCCATAACCATCAGCTGTCGCTACAGTACCGCTGGAGAAATGAAGTGGTGCAGGCTGGGAAAGAACTGTGTAACACGGCCATCCGGATCAATAGACGGAACAAGAGTGACTATCGTTGCACAGAGTTCTACTGTTTTCACTGTGACTATGAGTGAACTGAAGCTAACGAGCAGCGGCTGGTATTGGTGCGCCAAAGGAGGCTTCCAGATGCCAGTGCATGTAACTGTTACTGAAAAACCCACCACTAGTAAGTACTCCAAGTGGTTCTAAATTATAAACATATAAAAATGACAAACATCTGTAAATGTTTTGCTAGAGCCCTAAGAGATATAAGGACTAATAGTTGTCACATTCATCTACTAATAGTTGCCCTGTTTTGAATTACAGCCACACCTCCTGACACTTCTGATGCTGGATCAACCACCATAGAAGCAAACGGGCAGAACGAGTCAGAAGTCTCTGCAAGGTCAGACAAAACAATTCTTTCTCTTTAAAATGGTTTAAAATGCTATGATAACTTATTAAACTTATCTAATTTTCATTGTGGTTTTCAAAATGTTTTCTGCAGCCCTCCTATTGACCTAAAGCTCCTCATCATCCCTCTGAGTTTGTTGGTCTTCATCGTAATCGTGGCCTTGCTCGTCTGGGCTAAGCTGAGACACAGTAAGTCTGGACTGTTTTTGGAATTCATGCATGTTGTCACGTCAAGTTCAGATTATTCTGCATTGTCACAGTGAGTCGGTAACTGCAGTTTTGTTTTCATATAGAGCAGACCAAAGCACAACCATCAACCACAGCAACAGTAAGTTTAAGTAATTTATTTCCCTGCTAGAATGGTTAATGGGTCAGTGACACTACAAGAATTGTGAAAGTGAATTTAACAAAAGGAGAAGATTTTGCTTTCTACTAAGACCTTGAAAATGATTAGCAAACCAGCAAATCATCATGTTGACACTGTAACTGAAAGAATTTTCACTTTTATTTTGGTAAGTTTTTTAAGACTTATCTGAGTTCATCTGAAATCTGAATTAGCCAATGTTCCCTTTATGAGCGCATTAAAAAGGATTTGTCTCATGTATGTGACAATGATTCACTCTTTCAGCACATGTTGACTATTTTCACAAGCGCAGAGAGCTATTTTTTAATCTGCTGTAGCTGTGTTGTAACTCATGTACTTCTGAACTTGTGCAAAGATTGTCTGACCTGCGGTTTACTTCTGCACCACAGGCGAATGAGGAAATAACATACGCTACAGTTAAACCCAAGAAAAGAAAATCTAACCAGGTAACCCACAACCACAGCATTATTTGGAAATTAAGTTCAGCCTTTTAAGGGAACAAATAGTTCCTCAGAGTATAAGCTGCAGGACTATACCATAAAATTAAACTGCTCAGTCCTTCTGTAAGTGATCGTTTGCCTGGTTTGCTCGTTTAACACAGACTCAAGAGGATGCAACGTACTCCAATGTTGGATTTGTGAGAAAAAAATCCTCACAGGTAACCCTAAGATACTAAATATTAAATTTTTGCTTTGAATAAAACTGTTCAAAATCCATCGGAGCTGAAAAATGTTCAATTTCTCATGTCTGTCCTTACCCAGAAGTCAAATCCTGAAAGTGATGCGGAGGTGATGTACAGCTCTGTGGTTACCATAAAGAAAAAAAATGTGAAAAGGGTAAATATTAAGAGAACTGAAAGCAACCTCACTCTGTTTGTCACTTCCAGTTATTCAGTCATTTCAAATCGTTTTGTTTTTGGTTCCAGTATTTTAGGGCATTCCCTTAAATTTGTCCACTTTCTTGTTAGATTTGGGATTTTTTTATGTCTTTCTTTTCCTTCCTAATTTTGCTTCCGTTCTCCAACAGGATGAAGCTAAAGATGCGGATGTTACGTACAGCACGTTAGCTGAGTACCACCGAAACATTTAAATGTTTCAACTGTTGGTCTTTTTGTCCGTATCTTACTGGCCTCTTTTTCTTTCTTTTTTTAGATTAGTATCACACTGTGTCCTCTGCTAGTGTTGACTGGTAATAACTTTTCACTTCTACTTTTTGTTTTTTTACAGCTGCAAAAAAAAAAAAAAGAAGCATCGACCTGTTGGTTTGCTCTTGTGACCAATGACAACATGTTTCTTAGTTTTCTTGTATTTTTTTTTTATAACCATTGACATCATGAATAATCCTGACATTTTTTTTAAATGTTTGGGAACTCATTGTATATATTTAACCTTTTTGTATTTATACTTTCATGTATATTTGGTAATGTTGTGTATTTAAGGAACGCAAGTGAATGTGGATGGAATGACAAACTTGCAGTTCATCAAATGGCTGAACAACGTCATGATAAGAGAGCAAACTGGAATGATATTTTCTTTATTTGAATGTATTTGTATGCATTATTATGTGAAAAATATAAAGCTTTATTCATTATTCAGTTGTTACTGCTCTCATAACTCCCTACACTTTTTGAAAGTTTATCTACAGCAAAATATTCTGTATATTTTTTTTACATCATCACATTATCAAAACTGTAACATCATTGCAGTAAGGAGATGTGGTAGAAATGCAGGTTCCAACTTTTGTATATTGCATATTTAAATAAACTATGAAGTAGATTCAGATCTGTGGTTCACTTGTTTCGTGTTGTAGTTCACTCACTCACATATCATGTTGTTTCTGATGACTTCTTATCATTGTTTTCTGTTTTAATCAGTGCTTTTTTTTTTTTTTTTTTTTAACAATTTAGCCAATTATTTCAATGCAGTTTGATTCAATGGGATTACTTATTGAGTTCATGTTTGTAGTGTGTCCTATTTTTAAGTCTGTCTGTAACTCTAAAAACAGTTGTGTGTAGGGCAGGGGGATATGGCCAAAAATATTTATCACGATATAAATGAGAAAATTTGCGATAACGCTATAACTGATTTTATAACTGATGCTAGACAAAATACTTCAAAACTGCACAACTTTATTGGTACAAATAAAAAAAAACAACAATTTTTTTTTCCATTTAGCAAGCAGCTGTTTTTTTATGTGCATTAAAGCTATGTTGTACCAAAATCATTAGTGCATAAGTTGTAAGTTGTTTGCTGACAATTTGTTTAATCAAAAGGCATTTCAAATGGAAACTGGCTTACAAATCCTGAGCATAACAATGCATAGTATCCTCTCATCCTTGTTATGATAATTGACCTTCACACCGATTCCTCAGTAGTAGTAATAGTTTTATTTTACTATTCGTACCTCTTGTACCACTGTTGACCTCTACATCTTCCAATTGTACAAAAATGATTTCATCAAATTAATTTTAAAAAATAAATAAAAAAAGAATTTGTCCTTGGGGTCCCTGGGGGCCTTAGTAGGTAGTCCTTATGCAGTCTTCCTCAATTTATTCATACCCTTCTATTAAAGAAAAGGCAAAATTCACAATAATCACTGAAATAACTAGAAATTGAAAAAAGTAATAATAAATAAAAAAAAAAAAGCTAAATTATAATTTAGTGACACAAGCATTGCTTTTGAAGTGTGGTTGAAAAGAATAATTTAAAAAAATAAAAACTGTCCCGCACAAATTAGAGCACTTGGCTGTTTTTTTCCTTCTTTAATGGGAGGGTATGAATAAATTTGAGGACGACTGTATATTAAATATGACGGTTGGATGAGGGTCAAAGCACCAACTTACGACTACTTATTTGTTTTTTTTTTTAAAGTCTTTTCTACTTTGTCAAATACGCAGACGACTGTGACGTAAAGCCATTTCTGCTCAGGCACATACGCGGCCCGCCCGGGTCCTGAGCCGGGATGTGATAGGTCTGATTTCATTGCAGTGCAGTCTCCTTCAGCTCGCCCTCCAACCGGTGACGCCTGCCTCGGCCGTGCGGTGTGAGGAATATCTCCAATAAAGTCACTTTAGTTTACTGCTAGCTCCATCTTCTACTGGTAAGAGACTCGTTTATTCATTCTGACACTGTTAATCTACTCAATAACAAGAGAGAGTGCGTGTTCAGGCGCGCTTTACTTACGCCGGTACTCTGCAGGCTAACAGTTAGCTATGCTAGCTGCACTTAGCATGCTGCGTCTGACACATGTCGGGTGAAAACAGGGCAGCTTTGCGTTAACGTACGCGCTCCGTGCTGCCAAACAAAGCACCGTGTGTCCTTCAAAGCAACTCTAGGAGCACATTGACAACTTTTATTTTAAATATTGCCGATGTTGTTAACCTCCCTTCTGGCCTAGTTCGCAGCGTTGGTTTAACTAGCGAGGGAGCGGTTTAATTAACACATGCCAGTAATTGGCACAGACATGCACCTTGCCACGCCTAGCTGTGGCTGCCAGTCCACGGGTGGAGTAGTTTTAATAAAAGCCAGGCCTGAACGAGGTGGACTAGTGCGTCAAAATGGCTCCTCTCTAACTCAGTAACCTTGTCTGTCGTCTGTTAGAAACAGCTGGGGCTACCTGCACCACATGAATGCTAGAGGAGGTGTTCAGTGAAAAGTGAAACTAACTTTGTTATTGCCGCAGTAAAGTTCGGGGCTTTCCGAATACGTGTGCATTCATCTTATAACTTGCACTAACTCAGAGAAAGGGGTTGACAATGGGCACCAAAGGCTGCATTTCCCACAGGATTGTACATAATGTTCTCACACTGTCAAATAGGCATATACTTGTAGTAAGGACGCCCATTCATCTGGCCATCAACAGGATGGTAAGATTGGTTAAAAATGGCCAATAATGCAAGGCCCAGGTTTCCTTTCAACAGGTGTGGCAACTGCAGAAAGGTTGCATACAGGCACAGTTGACATCCTCATGTGAACCAGGCTTGTGTTCTTTAGCCTTAAAGATAAAAGCATCCTCAGTACTAGACTGTACTTACCATAAATGTAAAGTTACAAATAATTCTGACAAACTTTATGGAACTTCATGGCTTTCACTTATGTCATGAATGGCAGATTTAAAAGACATCTGGCCGTACATTTAAATGTTGATGACATGCAGCTCATCCAGACACACGTCCAGCTTGCTGTTTAACAGTTTCCATGAATGTTTATTCACTCCTAAGCGTATGTCACACTGAGTGATTTTATAATAGTGTTTGTTTTTAAGTTCACATGATTCCCTTTTTTGTTTTTTGTTTTTTGCTGTATGCAGTGTGCTGGAATTGCAATTTCACTGTAGATTGGCGGCATAATTTCACTATTGTATTTTGCTTCTGTCTACAGATAAAATGGCCGTGCCTCCCACATACGCTGACCTGGGCAAGTCTGCCAAGGACATCTTCAACAAAGGCTATGGTATGTCGTCTTACAGTTTGACCAAGTAGTGCTTGAAATGGTTGTATTGCCAAGTCTAGTTGATATTGTGGATCTGTTTCAAAATAATCTGACTGAAACATATCTTTCCTTCAGGATTTGGCTTGGTGAAGCTCGATGTCAAGACAAAGTCAGCCAGTGGAGTGGTAAGATTTTTTTTCCTCTTTGTTGTTTAATTTGGGATTGTAAAAATATAAAACAACCCTCTGACTTTATAGTCACGTTACTTTATGGTTTGTCTAGCCATGGCAGTAACAAGCCAGAGAAAAATAACTGCAGTAAAAGTGCCAGTTGTGATAATAATAAACTTTTAATCTAGTTTTTTCTTAACACTTTGTCTATTTTTTTTGTTTTTAGTTATGTGTTTTGTGTCTAAAATTTGACTGAACCTAATTTAACATCTTGAAAATGCTTGTTTTGTCTGACCACCAGTCAGAAACTTGATGGTGATCAATTTATTATACAAAACTGAACTGCAGGCTTAACCTCATGTTTGGGAAACCTGAACCTCTGACTATGTGAGATAATTGCTTGATGAATGGCCTAATTAATCATCAGAGTTGCAAATTAATTTTCAGTAAAAATGATAATTTGCATCAGGATTATAAGTTGTTTTTTTTTATGTATTTATTTTTAGCAATGTTTGGCTTTACACTAAATGAACAATAATTGCTCGTAGCCTGGGTAAACTCAGCTGGTTTATATTCGTCTTTATCTCATCCAGAATATTCAGCTTTTCTTGTGACTGACATTCCTCTAAAATTGTCCCTTGTAGGAATTCAAAACATCTGGTAACTCCAACACTGACACCAGCAAAGTTGCCGGCAGCCTGGAAACTAAATACAAGAGGTCAGAATACGGCCTGACCTTCACTGAGAAGTGGAACACTGACAACACCTTGGGAACAGAAATCACTGTTGAAGATCAGGTTAGTAGGACTACATATGTTTTCTGCTCATGTTATTTAACAATGGGTGTCAAAAAGAAAAATGTGTACACATTGAACATGACAGGCCACCATTCCTGTCTTGAAATGTCAAATGGTTTCTATTGTTGCTCCTCCCAGATTGCCAAGGGACTGAAGTTGACCTTTGACACAACCTTCTCACCAAACACTGGGTAAGACAATGACTAAAACTGGTTTGACTTGAATCTTACTTTGTTAACAAATGTGAGCTGCAGTGCCTGCTGCTTTCTATGTGGATAATTATGGCAACTTGATCTTTGCTGCACATGCTTCTGACAAGTGTCACTGCCGACCATGTGACCTTAGTCCCCAGTATGGAACCAGTCTGTTGTAACACAGTACTGTTTGGCTGTCAGTTTGTGCACCTTTTCTGTGTGTGAGGTGTGTTGCAGTTCAGGGGAAAAAGTCAAAGCAGTTTTAGGAGTGTGCCCAGATGCTAAGGCAATCCCAAATGTGTTTGCTGTCTAAGGTATAAATCACCTGAGGAGTAGGGCACATGACCCAGAAGATGCGTGTCCTGTTTCATATTGAGTGTTGTAAAGTTGGTGAGGGTGTAGTTATGTGTCTACATTCACACAGGGCTACAGTAAATGCACAGTACATGCTGGAATAGTGTGGTCATCAGTCTGAGCAGGGCCGGACTCGAACCCATGATCTCTGTGTCTGTTCATGGGTTGCCTGCCCAACCTGCTGAGCTATCCAGGCGCCTGGAAAGTAGTACTTTTATAACTTTGGTGTCCTGCACTGTTGACTCTTAAAAATAGGGTCTTCTCGTGAGAAACAGAGCGCGCCTACATTCACCACCTTTTCCACTCATAAAAAAGAACATATGTTAAAAATAAATAACTCACTCTGTTTCATTTTGGACAAGTCTGACATTAGACTGCCTTAGTTTACTCTTTTTAAAGTCATTTTTGGTCGCACACCTGTCTGAGCACACCACAGATACCAACAGCAGTGACTGCGGCCTGCAATGTGGGGCGTTTAGAGTACATCGGTGAATTGTAGGATCTATCAATTAGAAAATGTTCAGCAAGTCATATGTTTTGCCAGTGACCAGGAAAGAGGTGTAACCAAATGAGAAAGTTGGTCGCACTGGTGCTACCAGTGAAAAAGTTTGTCTGGAGCCTGCTGAGCCACTTTGTTTTCCCATTTACAGAGACAGGACTGTGTGCAAACATCAGATTTTAGTGTTTTTTGTACTGAATGAATTGCAAGCAGGACATAAACTTTGTGTCATACTTTGGAGCATTGAGATCATTGTTGTGTCACTGTAAGATAGTCAGAGTACTCTATCCATCCCCCAAGAGAAAGTTGCAACAGAAATGCAGCATTATTTGTTTGCACTGGGTGAAATGTGAAACGTGTAGTACATTGATAAAAGGACAAAGGAAGTGTAACTGATCCCACCTAGAATTGCACTTGATTTGGATTTCTGTTTGAGTTTTACAAAGGCCTCTTCTCATCAACAGCAAGAAGAGCGGCAAAGTTAAGACCGCCTACAAGCGCGAGTACGTCAACTTGGGCTGTGATGTCGACTTTGACTTCGCTGGTCCCACCATCCACGGAGCTGCTGTTGTCGGCTACGAGGGATGGCTCGCTGGTTACCAGATGAGCTTTGACACTGCCAAATCCAAAATGACCCAGAACAACTTTGCCATCGGCTACAAGACAGGAGACTTCCAGCTACATACCAATGTGTAAGTAGAGATCCTTTGACGCAAAGTTTGGATTTTTATCATGTGTTTGTTCCTTTTTCAACAAATACTATGAACCTTCAGTCCAGTTACTCAGAGGCAACATGAACTGTTTATCTGTAATAATCTATACATGCAATATATTTTCCAAAGCTTTGCATGTTAGAAAAACACTGAACATATGACTATTGGTTTGTCTGGATTCTTGTTGGACTGCCAACATTGTTATGGGTTTAATTTTATCATATAATGATGGAGCTTGAATGTTGCATTACGAATGGAAACAAAATGATCAAAAGATGGACCACAGAGCAAATGTATCTCTGCAGGTTACTATATTGCGATATTTCTTTTCTTTTTTCCTCCCTCCCAAATGACGACACAAAAACCTAACAAACACTCTTCCTATAATAAATCACTTCAGTTGTTTCAAATTTGTACTAAAACATAATAAATCACAAATCTTAAAGGTTGCGGAATGTTTGTAGAAGCTGATTGCAAAACCTCAAGTCCCCACATTTGTTTCCTGTTGCATAACCTCTCTTCTTGTATTTCTAACATTTAAAGCAATGATGGCGCTGAGTTCGGTGGCTCCATCTACCAGAAGGTCAGCGACAAGCTGGAGACAGCAGTCAACCTGGCATGGACCGCTGGCAGCAACAGCACACGCTTCGGCATCGGAGCCAAATACCAGCTGGACAAAGATGCCTCCATCAGTGTAAGTAACGCAGCAGAGGCTTCAGGAATGGGAGTGATACGATGACAGTAAAAAGTCAAGAATTAATTGTCACTGACTGACTTTTGTGTTGTTGTTTTTTCTTTATAGGCTAAAGTGAACAACAATAGCCTTGTTGGTGTTGGGTACACCCAGACTCTTAGACCAGGTACGTTGGTTTCCTACAGGTTTATTGACCCCAGAATGATTCAGTTCATTACCTCTGTTTTTAGGAAAGATGTCACCCTTCTTCAGAACCTGTGTTTAAAACAAATAATTTAGCTTTTGCACATGCGAGGGTTAATATCGGTTGCTCTTGTGTGTGCGCAGGTGTGAAACTCACCCTGTCTGGCCTGGTCGATGGAAAGAACATCAATGCAGGAGGCCACAAGCTGGGTCTGGGCTTGGAACTGGAAGCTTAAGCTTTCCTCAAACTGCAAGGGACTAGGGAATATCAGAAGAATCTGGCCTTAAATGTATGTCCAACTCAAACCAGCAAGGGGATATCTTGGAGAGATTGGTTCAAAGGCTACTGCAACAAACTCTTAACTTGAGTACCACTTCAAGCTGGTGCTTTTGTCATTGGTATGTTTTACCTTTGTTGCTTTTTACTTTGTAGTTGCATCTACTCAAGAGACAGTTTTTGACATGTTGTTTATAAATCATGTCATTCTTCCTGTCCAGCACTGCCATAATAATTCGATTAATACAATCCCTCTGTCATCAACTCTGTGTGGCTTTCTTGTGCTAATCCCAGACACTCCGTTTTTTTTATGTGAGAACATTAGTCCACGGATTTGTGTGGTGAGCGTTGCCATACTTTCTACCTTATTTTACAATCATGACCATCTGATATTCCTTTGTCATCTGAACAGTTTTCATTTGCAAATAATGTTAAGTACACTAGACTTTTTTTTTTTCCTCTGCTGATATTTAAATACTGCTGCATTCTTCCTGTTCATGCACACAAGGACAAAGTAAAGCTCTGTAATGTTTTGTGTTGTGTCGGCCATCTGGGGTTTGTGATGTTCTGTTAAAGCTGCACACGTGGCCATCCCTTAAACTGGGCAGTTTTTGGGTTGCTCAAAGTTGGATCTGTAAGTTTGAGGGGAAACCTGTACACACGGCCGACCAAGCAGAACTCATTTTTGTTTTTTCGGTACAAATGGACAACTCGGGAGCACTTCATTATTGTTCACAGCAATGCCAAACTATCATTCGTGGGAAGAGGTGTAACTTCAAGTTGCACATGTGCACTCTCTAAAGTGCTTCCCTGTTCGGGGCAGAGACCGAGCCCGCAGGAAGTCTTGGAGGTCCTTATGTGTATGTATACATTTTCAATAAAGTCTTTGAACTCCACAAATGCATTTTAGTATGTCATGTTGGAAGTGACACAAACCATACCTCACTAACCTCAAAGCCACTAAAGTCAGCAGATTGACCCTCCTGCTGCATCCCTAAGGTTGGTGTAATCTTAGATTCACCGTTCATTAGCTTGTTTGGTTGGTTCTAGTTAAGTGTTTTTGCTTTTTTTTTGTCATTTTTAAGTAGCTTTTTCCTTGTTCAGGGCCTGAGAATGGCTTTGGAAGCTTTTCCTGTTATATTTTACTGTAGATCCATGTGCTCTTCAACAAAGAAAATGTGCTACAGGAAGCACCACTGACAACACTTGTGGCTTCCAAGTGTTCAGTTTTCTGTCTGAATTCCAGCGGTTCCTGCTGTTCTTCCTTGTGAACCATCTCAAGCTCTGTCAAGTTGAATAGGCAGCATTAGGAAACTGCTGTTTCCACGTCCAGGAAAGTCCGATTTGATTTAATTTGGGATTAACATGCCACTCAACTATTTTGAGGAACTTTACGTTGAAGGCAAGATCGAAGCCGTGTGCTGGAGTTATCGAGGCTCTTTAAAGTGTTGTTTTGGAAAGGAGGGTGGATTATTTCATCCCCCTCGTGTCCTACGTAGGGGAGCTGCACCACAGATTTATTGTGAATATGTGTGTGCCTTAAACTTTGAAGAAGAAGAAGGAAAACCACACGAGATAAACAAGACAAACATGCAAAAAAATGGGTTTAAGATAATTAAAAGACTTTGAGAAGAGATAGATGATACCAAGAGACAAAAATAAATTAAGAAAAGACGATTGTAATATCAATCTATACACATGGTCACTATGTCTAGATTGATATGAGTGAAAGTCAAACAGAACTCCGGTAACTTACCTTCGAAGGCGCTCATGCATGTACTAATGAAGTTGTTTTGCCCACATACTTAAAATAAAAACGTTAGAGCTAATATGATGGACGACACTTTGTACTGCTGCATTGTTTCTTGCAGCATCCTGAGGCGTCGCAGTGGGGAAGAAAATGAAGTTGTCTATAAATGATGCAGCAGCAAACGCATTTATTTATGCTGTAGCCTTGTCACTGTTGGCTGAAATGCAGCCAGGATGATGTAGTAGTCGCACAAAGTTTGATTTATTGCCCAGCTTGTCATTAGTGCGGGGTTGGTTCTGCCCTTTGTCCCTGTGTAAAACAATTATCCTTATTAATCCAATCGTCTGATAGTAAGTTTTTATTACTTCAAGGAAAAGCTGGAGACAAATCCATCTGACGAATGGAGGTTGATTGGACACAGAGGTATAGAAGTCACATTTACAGAAACAAAACATGCCTCAGTTAGCTGGTTTTATTTCAAGAAAACTGAAATAAAAGCATCTGTCAGCACACGTATCAGCTGAGTCAGCCGTTTGAGAAATGTAACAGCTCCACACACACAAAACGCAACCCGGGATCTGTTCATATTGCATTTATTTCTCAGCGCATACCAAAGCAGATAAAGATCAACAAACATCCAAAGTGGACCCTGCATTTACATTCATAACCACACTAGTTTCATGGTGAGTCATTTTTTTAATACATTACAAGTCGATTCAAAGTTCAAAGCAAACATGAGAAGGATCGAGTTCTCGTCTTTATGAAACTGTGACTTTGAAGAGAAACTCCAGCTCTGCTTTCTTTCCCTGACTCAGCTTGTGCTTGGATTTGCATTTGCATCAGATAAGCCATTCTCTATTTTGTAGCTTCACTATCTCTGATATTTGCATTCATCAGCTTCTCGTTTAATTTAAGGTGGAAGCGCCCTTTGCTCTTTCTTCCTCATCCACTGCAGATATGTTTGGGTTACTTTCCTTGTGTCTCTCTGACTTTCTACTCTCCCACCGTCTCAGCTTTACCTTTGAGGATCATTTCTTTTCTGCAGGCGGCTTCGCTGTCTGAACCTGGCTGCTCTCTGGTGCCCCCTCATGTAGCTCTTTGATTTCTGCAGCCCCACTTGTCTTTTCCTTCGGCGACACAGTCTGCATTTTATCCCCACTGTTTGGCTTCGTACCCTCGACTTCTGGAAGACTTTTTACCATAGATTTAGGAGATGGCTCTTTATCTTTATTGCTTTCATGTTTTGCATCCTGAAGGTTTTTTTCATCACCTTTAGCAGCATCAGGTTTGCTGACTCCCTTCGGCTCTGTATGAGTGTTTTCTACATTTTTGGGTGCTGCACTTGAAGTTACTTGAGACTTTTCTAAAATTTTCTCTGCCTCTTTGGACGGAGCATCCTTTGTCTCTGCTGTGAGATCTGTTTTAACCGCAGTTTTAACTTTATCCTGCACTTCTGCTACGCTGCTTGGCTCTTGGGTTTTGCCTGATTCTTCAGACACTGAGGTTTTATCTACAGGCTCCTTCGCTTGAGCTGAGTCCAAACTATTTTCCTCAGCACGTCCTTGTTTACCGTCTTCAGATTTTTTCAGCGCTTTACCCTCCACAGTGGCCTCTGGCTTCAAATCATGTGGTTTGGAAGATGAATCTGTCTGAACCTTGATCACTGCAGCTTCTGTGTTTTCAGCTGCTTTAAGATTCTCTTTCTTTTCCTCACCGAAGCTCTCATTCAGTAAAACTTTGCTTTCAGTATTTGTATCTAAGCCACTATCCCCTTCGCTATCAGCTGCTCCAGTCTCCTCTGACTCTTCTTCATCCCTATTTTGATCTTTCCCACCATCATCTCCATCACCAGGACTCTCTCCCTCTCTATTATCACCTACACTCACTGACTCTTCCCCTGACTGATCCTGCTGACTGTCAGACATCTGGTCACCTTCGTCCTCTCCACTGTCTTTATCACCGCCCTCCTCCTCCTCTTCCTCGCTGCCCCCTTTCTCTCTTTTGGCACACTCATCTTTTTCCACCTCCGTCTCCTCCGAGCCCGTCTCCTCGAATTCGGACATCTCGATCTCCCTGGTGGTCTCGGTGATGATCTCCTCCACGAACTTGTAGTGGGGCTCCACTCGTCTGTGCGAGCCTCCTGGTCGGCTGTGGCAGGGGAGGGTGTAAATGGGGGACTGGTGGTAGATGTAGGGCAGGGAGATGTGGGTGTCGGACATCGTGGACAGCCGGGCCTCCTCGCCACACAGAAGTTTCCTGCAGGATGGAGAAGACACATTTTAGTGCTGATATTTAATCAAAAATAAAGACTTGAGAAAGGTGCAGAATGACTCTATGCCTTTTTAAAGGGTCCTATTCTTAAAGTAAATGTTTTTAAAAAAAAATATAGATTGCCTTTATGTATTACATTAAGTGTATTGATTCTCCTGTAACCTGTAGGCAATGCAATTATATATTAGCATATTATGGGCTGTTGTGATTCTGTGTTTGCCATAGTGCAACACACTGGTTGTTTGTTCCCGGCACTGCAGCTCGATTGTATTTAAATGCAGCATTCATGGCAGCTGAGGAGGCTGGAAAGTTGAAAAAAAAAAAGGTAACATTTAGTATAGATTTTTTTCTTCAGTATGAAAATGCTTCTAATACCTGTAGGACATTATCTCCACATCCAAAGCCATCTTCACATTTAACAGGTCCTGGTACTCCCTCAGGTATCCAGACATGTCGAATTTGCAATTTATGAGCTCATTTTCAAGTTCTTTGATTGTGTTCTGCAGCAAAAGAAGAAACTATTGTTAGTGAACAGAGATCCATTCAATTCAATTCAAATAACTTTATTCATCCCCTCGGGGCAATTCAAAGAGATTTAAAAAGATTGCAAGTGAACAAATACCATTTCTTCATACCTGGTAGTGGATGATTTCCTCCTTGTGGCGATCCTCCACGTCATGAAGTTGCTTCTCCAGTGCTTCCCTGGTGCCTCTAGCGCAGTCCAGTTCGACGTTTTTGGCCTGCAGGCGCCTCCTGTACTCCTGGATCTCTTGCTGGGACGTTTTTAACGCCTCCCTCTTGCTCTCAGCTGCCTCCGTTAGTCTTGCAAACTGAGATCGGAAAGTTTCCCCGATCTGCTGGACGTCGCACACGGTGTGACCTTCCAGCTGCGTCCTGATGTCCCGGAGTGCCGCAGTGACGCCGGGGTGGCCAAATTCGTGCGCTTTCACAGTCAACTGCGCATCCTGTATCTGGTCAAACATTTCTGACACTTCGGCCTCATGGTTTCTCTTCAGGAAGTGGATTTCGTCCACGAGAGACTGCGCTTTCTTGTCCAGCTGCAGCTTCGCCTGATACGCGTCGCTGATGTCCTTCTTCAGGACCATGATGTCTCTCTCGGCGTCACATTTGCTGCGCGCCTCCTGCTCGTGTTGTTTCTTCAAGTCGGACAGTTCCTCCTCTAAATTCTGATGCTCGATTTCAATCTGATGCTTCTGATGAGTGATGTCCTGAACCAGCTGCCTCAGCTTCCTCAGCTCCGGTCCGTACTCCTCCTCCAAACACGATGCGGGTTTTGCTTTCCCTCTGATCTCTTCGATTTCTCTCTCCAGCAGATGGTTGTGGTGCTCCAGCTGGTGCACCTTCTCTATGAATCCTGCAAGACGGTCGTTCAAGCCGTGCATTAGTTCTTTCTCATTGAACTTTCCAGATATCGGCTTGGTCGAATTCATGTCCGCGGACGTCCCCCTAACCGCGACGCTGGTGTCTAATCTGGCACGTCTCGGTTGGCGCTGTGAATACGCATGTGGAGCGGTTCTGCTCGGGGTGTCGAGTCTGGTCTCCATGCTGTGACTCATGCTGTCTTTGTGAATCTCCGGTGCAGAAAGGTTCCATACGGGCTTTTATAAGCGCGGCCATCTGCTCCGTCTGCAGAACGGAGCTGTCCGCGGTGCTGAAAAGGTGAAGCATCAGCTGATGCTTCAGTGAAGCGCTTACAGCTCAGTTTGTCGCAGGCAGCACTGACGCAGGTGAACTGACTGTAGATGCCAATCAGAAGAGAATTGACTATCGATATATTATTATTATCATCATTATTATTGTGCAGGAGTCAAATACAGTGCTTGGATACACTGTAAAAAAAAAATTTAAAAAAAGAATTCCGCAAAAAAAGTGATGATCTGGTAGAAAAAATACCTTATATCTGTAAAATATTTACTTTTTTTTTTTTTTTTTTTTTTATAGCTGATTTAAATACAGCGAAGCAGTGTAGTTTTCACACATTGTAAGAGAAGGAATTACTATATGTGAAAATATTGTTTTTTTATGTTGACATTACATTGAAATTACAGTTTCAATGTAAGTTATATGTAGCTCAACAAAATAGGAGAAATCTGTAAAAAAAAAAAAAAAATCTGTTCCTAACTTCATTATATATGTCGGAATATAATAGATCTTAAATTATATGAATATCATAGATAATAGATCATAAATAAAAATGCTGTCATTTTGCAGTGAATTTTTTATTTTTTTTTTTAACTTAATTATAAATATTTATTTTTAAAAAACAACCTTCTTTACAGTCAACTTTTTAAAAGTGATTTTACTGGGTAAAATCTGTAATTTAACATAACAGTTTTATTTTTTTTATAAAAATCATTTATATTTGTAATTTTTCTATCTCTAATACATTTTTTTAAATAACAAAAAATGTTGGTCAAATAATCATACTTTTTTCTGATTTACATCTAGTTAAAAATAGTGTAATTTTACCACCATGTTGTTAAAGAACAAATCGTTAATTGTCAGATTATAGATTTTTAAAGTGGATATTTTATCAGGTTTTGTCAGTTTTAAGGGTTTATATGTAAATTCATACTTTTTTCTGTTATTCTACTAGTTATTATACAGACAACATCTGTAAAACAACAGTAAATTGTCTAAAACTGTTTTTAAAACATTAATTTTTGACAGTATACATGTTGAAGTACTGAATTAGCCTGTTATGGCTAAATATCAAGCCTTTAAAACTGCCTTATGTAGAAGTACACACTTGTTAATCACAACCTTTACTTTAAGTCTAAACAGTAAAAATACTCATTTTACAGGAGTCTACACTGTGGGCTGTCTTAGACAAATAAAGTGAGTATACTTTTAAAAAACAATCACATAACTACTTTTTAATATATCACTTCATACAAAAGCATGAAATCAAATCATCCTTTGGTGTGACCAACGTTTGCCTCAAACAACATTAATTCTCTTCAGTACACCTGCACACAGTTTGTCAGGATACTTGGAGGAAGGAAGGTTGCTTTGATCATCATGGAGAAGTTGAAACAGTTGTAGGATTTTCTGTTTTAGCCGCTTCTGTCTCTGAGTCAGACTGAGTCCACAATGCTGAGATCCAGGTTTTGTTGGGATCAGACCATCTGTTGCAGAACTCCTTGTTCTTCTTGTCTGTTCTTAATGACTCTGACTGTATTTGGAGTCATTGTCCTGCTACAGAGTAAATGGTCAAACTCCTCCTCTATGGTGTATTTGCATAGTAGGCTTCGTTATGTTGTTGTATTTTTAGATTAATTTGCACTTTTTTCATGTTGCAGCTTGTCATGGTTGAGCTAATATTTATGACTTTATACTCCATTCAGTACATACAGATCAATAAAATCTCACCTCTACACTCTTTCTATCATTAATCTGAACCTGCAAACCTAAAACTAACATGATCAGATAAATGCGGTGCAGTATTAACCTCTGAAATGACAGTACTGAAAAGTACAAGTGCCTCCAGTTACTTAAGTACATTAACTGATGTAACATTTGGAAAACAGGACTTTTACTTGTAGAGGATTGTGTCTACATTTGAAAACAGAAAATCCTGTTTTTATTTTGTCCTGGTGTCTTTTGAATCATCTAATAACATGACATACAATCCCCCACATACAAAGCTACTGGTCATAGGAGCCTCTTCCACGAGTCTGAACTAATACAGTATAACATCTCAGGCCAATAACATCATACTTGATTGAAAGCAAGAATGTTTTACATCAGAGCTACAGTGCAGTTAAAGTGATAGTGTGAAGGATTTAGTGGCATCTAGTGGTTGAGGCTGCAGATTACAACCACCTGAACACAGCTCTCCTCACCCTCCCCTTGGAGGACTTTGGGTTTCCACGAAAAAAATGAAAAGTCCTCTTTAGAGTGAGTGTTTAAGTTAGTGTAGAAAGATGGCAGTGCAACATGTTGGACACTTGAAGAGGACACACCCACTCTAATGAAAACACAATTCTAATTTTCCACCATTGAAAACATAAATATAAAGACTATATGCCATTTTTGATCACAGTTCCCCTACAATAAAACACATGGGACCTTTACATTTAAATGTTTAACCAGTTTAAAGGTAGTCAAACCTGTTGTGGTTACAGTCATATCGTCATGTGGACAAAGGGATATTTCAGGTACATTTTCATACATTTATCTCACTCTTAGCTGTAGCACCTTTCTGTTTATTGATTTTGATACTTGAAACTGTGTATTTTGTTGTGCTTTTATATAATTGTCATCCTTACAAAGACAGTAAACAGGGAGAGTGGGTTGTAATGTTTAATCTGATGGTAAACAGGCTGATAGAAGGCTGTGTACTCTACATATACTAATGTACTGTTAAAGAATAAAACAAAACACGTACAATTAATAACTAAGGACTTTAGCGTTTAATGGCAAGGGTCAGACCGTCTCCCACGGTGAGCATGCTCAGATCAATCCTCTGGTCCTTGTGCAGCTTCTTGTTGAGAGCATCCAGACTCTGAGAGGTGAAGTCATTGGGAGCAGGGTTCAATACCTTTTCGCCCCAGAGCACCTTCAAACACAGTAACAACAGCTGTTTCATTCTGCTCACAGTCCACACATGATATGCTCTCCTCAGCGCCGCAGCGTGAATTCTCTGAGAGACACTCGGCCCTCTTGTGTAAGATGCACTCACGTTGTCGATCGCAATAACGCCCCCTCTTCGTATGAGCTCCAGGGACTTCTCGTAGTAGTTGTCATAGTTGGATTTATCAGCATCGATGAACACAAAGTCGTACGTCCCAGCTTGTCCGGCTGCTATCAGTTCATCTGGTTACACAGTAATAAAAATTAAAATGAAAAATACAATAAAAAAAAAATCTGAAATCATGATTGAGATTTACAAAGGGACTCACTCAGTGTCTTCAGGGCTGCTTGATGTTGAACATCTATCTTATTTTCAACTCCAGCCTATAACAAATTGCATGAATTGAGAGTTGCACAGGGATTCCTCTTCTTTAAATGTGTGTGTTAGCGAGGGCTAAAGCAGGAATTGATTTCACGGCTTAGCTTTGCATCTTTACGTGACACAGTTTCCTGAGCAGACATCTTTTACTGTCCAGCCTGCAGGATTCTGTGGAGACAAACTGACAGAACCTGGATGTACAGGATGCTGTCTGCGGCACAATTTGTGCTCTGATCAGTTGTGCTCAATTTGCAAAGCGTCAAATTGTAATGTTGTACAAGTGGAAGGATTTGGACGTTGTACACTTGTGTGATGCGACTTTTGCTCGATGCCTTTTTAAAATCTAACATAAACAACATGTGTATGGATGACTGATGCTTGTCAGATGTTCTCACCTCTTTAAAAAACGGTTTGGCGATGTTGATGTAGCTGTCCTGTATTTCACAAGCTACCACCCGTCCGTTCTCCGGCATGGCCAAAGCCATGCTCAGAGCATTGTACCCTGTGTACATCCCTGTACAATAAATACAGATTGGATTATTTTAGAGTTTTATGTTCAGTTATTCCAAGGTTACTGACAGAGTCTAATTAGAAGCAATCAAACATCTGATTGTGTCAAATGTTGTGAATAGAGAATATTTTGTGTTTTATTTTGAATACTGTAGCATTGAAACATTACAATATTGAATTAATATGTTAAATTCCCACCTTTAAAATTTCTTAGACAGTTTAGATTTATAGAATTTAAAAAGATGAAGTAATAAATATTTTGTGAAAGAAAAAGTTGCTCCAAAAAAACCCCCCAAAATATATAAATAAACTTTTCAGACAAAACTAAGCAGAGCAAAGATCAAAGCTGAAAGAAAGAAAGAAAGAAAGAAAGAAGAGTTTTTCGTCAGATGTATGATCTAAAACAAAACATTTTGGAACAAATAGTTTTATATATATTATTTAAAAAATCTTGTACTTTAAGAAAAATTAACTTCTTGTGATAATGGAAGTCATTCTTAAGTTGTAACAAGTATTCAGGAGTAGATTAGTTCCACAATGACACTTTTTTTGTCTTTAAAATGGCCTTCCTTTGCCTCAAAGACTTCTAGTAAGTTTCACGTAATCTTACCAACTTCAATAGCTTTCGTGCCATTAATCAGTCTAATGAGATTTGCCATTAACTGGGCTTGTTCACTGGAAACCATCATGACACTCCATTGGTCCTGAAGGGTCCTCTGTAATAGAAAGATAAAATAATTCAAAATACATCATTATATTATCAGGATATTTGTCTGCATGTAGCTGTGTGTTGTTCTCTGGCACTGTGCTGCCTTCTAGTGACCAAAACATGTACTGCTTAGGTCCTGAAATCTGTGTTAATACGCATCCTTTATCCTCTTAAGTTTATTGTACTTCTAAGTAAAATACAGATAGCGTTATAAACAGGTGACACTAAAACACTTGAACGGAAACTAAACAACTGAAATTCCAAGCAGGTACTTTTTAAAAAGTGTCCACTGATGTTAAATGTAGTTACAGGGACATCCAAAGTTCAGAAGCCACAACTTCAAAGTCATCTTTAGTTTTTAGCCTGAAGCTCCAGATGACCAGCCAGCCTCCATCTGACCTAAATAACCTGCTGCTGGCTGCAGCGTGTAGATTAATGCTGGCAGATGTCTGCCTGCACATGCAAAGTGAAAGTTGCTCAGAAGAATCCTGATCCATACATTAGTTATATCCTCGAGGGTTGCGTGAGAGAATTCCACTATTCCAGCTGAAATTAGGCAAAAGCCAAAGTAGAACCCAGACAAGTCTGTACAGACATTCACCCCGACATTATGAGCAGTTAAGAGTCACCAACTAACCCAACTGGTATGTTTTGGCCGATGGGAGGAAACAGTAAGAATCCTGAATGAGATGTATTTAAATTTGAATACAGACTGTAGATATTAATGTGGGCAACGAGGTGGCTCTGTGGTTAGCACCGTCGCCTCGCAGCTAGAAGATCCCAGGCGTCCTAACCGGGATGCGAACTGGTGATCTTCTAGGATGGCTGGGATCGTTCTGTGTGGAGTTTGCATGTTCTCCCCGTGCAGCGTGGGTTCTCTCTGGGTTCTCTGGCTTCCTCCCACACAGTCCAAAAACATGTTGAGGTTAATTGGTGATTCTAAATTGTCTGTAGGTGTGAATGTGAGTGTGCTTGGTTGTCTGTCTCTAAGTGTAGCCCTGTGATAGACTGGTGACCTGTCCAGGTGTCCCCTGCCTTTACCCTGAGTCAGCTGGGATAGACTCCAGCCCCCTACGACCTTAGTGAGGATTGAGCAGTGTATAGATAATGGATGATATTGACTTGAGACTTTTTTTTGGTTGGACTGATCATCACACTGAACCTCTTAATTAACAAATAAAAAATAATACAGCTACCAATGACAAAAACATTATGAAATTAGTGCTGAAGGTATCATGCATCTCTAAATGAGACAAGAACTTGATAGTTTTCTTACCAGTCTGAGTTTGGTGAGGACCGGATGCTCTCTCAGTGAGTTGTTAACTACGTACTGTAGCACAGGGTTTTCCGTCCCTGAGCCGTGGGTCTTCCCCATGAAGGCAGACTCTCCCACACCTGATCAACAAGAAACAGAACAGCGGCTAAAATTACAACCAATCCAAGACATCTACCAGGTGACATATCCTGGTTCTCTCGTACCAGATAATACGACAGCAAGTCCAACACAGAAAAGCATTTTAACGTCCGCGGCCATTGTGTCCTGAGATTTTCTTCAAAGGAGACACTGAACAGCTCTTTCCTGGATCTGCTGAAGCTCTGGGTGTCAGGATTTTCACATGGTGCCATGAATGTTTGCTTTGGGTTAACCTTTGAGAGGGAGGCTCAACTTATTGATTTTCCAACTTTTTTTTGTATTGCTGTTTCAAAATCATCTTAAAAGCTCAACATATTTATCACAGCAGGTACATTAGGCTTAAAGTCTCACTTTTCAAAGCCTGCAGCGATACAGTGAAATAGTTTAAATCACGTTAGAGTTTCATGATGAATTCACACTTTTATAAAAGGCAGTAACACCAGTTGTTCAGTCAGTCAGCTCTTTTTATTTGCCGAGGCCCTGAATCTCAAAATGCTGCAGATAGTCTTTCAGTCATTTCCTAGTCCAGGCAAGCACCCTTTGAACTGTTTTATCTGTGTTTGTTGTCCTGACTGTCTCCACTACACTTTTACTCAGCACTACGTATCACTGGTGTTCAATGGGAGCTACTTTTGAGCGTTTCACAGCACAGTTCTCACCATTTAAATTCAGTCACTGTTAGCAAATGCTGAGTGTTTAGAGATGCACTTTATTTTAAAATCTTCTCCGTGAAACATCAGAGAAGAGAGTGACACGACTTTGTGCTAATTAAACTGAACAGCTGAATTTCTAAAGTAGCTGCAGATCTAAAAGACTTTTTTTGTAGTATTGTGAATATTAGTTAAAACCAAGTGAGACTTTCAGAACATAATTTATGTATTTTTGTTTTTACTTGCAGTTGATGGACGTACATACCTTGAATTCTACTTTCATTGAAACTTTGGAAAAGCATCATTAGGTACTCCCAGATTTCTGACAGAGTGCAAAGATCACAACGAAACAGTTCAAATGTGTTGTGAGTCTAAACAGAGCTATTTCTAATTTCTTCTGTTGAAAAAGTGGAGAATATGTTGTGTCACCTGGATGCTGGACTGTTCAGTATGGTTCATGTTGTGTTCGCTCTCCACCTGTGTGGTCAAAGGAGGCTGCACATTGGCTACTACTGACTTGAACTATTATCATTCAGGACCCTCAGTTAAAAAAGAAAAAAAAAAAAAAGGCACCAGCAGCAGTTCATTACTCAGTCTGCCTGAGCTGTGCTGATTTGTATTGAATATTTGTTCAGAATATGAAAAGATATGCAGTGGGAGGTTTGTGGCTTTTGGTAAGTTTGGGAAAGATGTTTAACTAGGTTACTGGTTGGTGCCACATTTGTGTTATTCAGTGAAGCCTTTTTTTATACTAGCAGGTGTTTTGTTGTACTTTTGTTTTAGTGATGGAAGTGAGCCAGGTGGAGTTTTTCTATGTTGTTTTCATTCATTTGGCACAACCACATCCTCCCTTTCTCCCCCAACATTCTATGAACCTTCTGTATCGTTGCACATTTGAGTTAAACTTTGAGCTAAACGTAGATCAAACTGTTTTTTGTCCTATTCAGATCAAAAGGGGGCATAACAAGGACCAACACCTGCATTATTTGCTTCCTCTCTGACAGTGCTGCCCCCTAGTGGTAGACAGACAAAAGAGGCTTTCTTTATTTAAAGCAAAACATTACAAATGAATAGGATAAAACTGATAACACCAGCTGATTGTATACATTAAGATAATTATTGATTGCATTTCTTAAGAAGTATTTAAATATGCAGTTTTGGTATCATGTAATCAAATATGCACTCATTTGCATATATTTCCAGAACAGAAACCTAAACGTTGGATAAAGCCACGTGTAAAGTTCTTGTTTCATTCATAAAGATTTTAGAGGGAATTTTGGATATCTCCTTTAATCACTCTGTAAATCAGAAAATACTGTCAACAGAGAGAAGAATCAATTTTTCCATGTTTTTTTTTTGGAATGAAATGTTATAAAATAAATGAGGCTATGAATGATATATAAACAAACGCATCCGTCTGAACCTTCAGAATATAGAATTGAATCAGACTGGTGTATGTAAGTGGTGCTGAAGAGGAGATTTTTAGCTCAGTGTATGAAAAATAACTCATTCTGAGAAACAAGATGTGTATTGTAATTGGAATCTACGGACGCAAATAAACAGAAAATAAATGCTGAAATGTATATTTTATATGTTCCTCTTCTGCAACAGTCTGTAAGATGATTTATGGAAGCAAAAGAGGCCAAATCTCAAAACTGAGCAGTGCATAAAACTGCTTATAAGAGACATTACAGTTATTGTTTGTTAACGTTAACATTATAACCATGTTGAAAAGTAGTTAAACCTTACTTGGCTGCAAATACTCCATTTGTCCAGCATTTCCTGCACTCACTCGCACTGACAGGTTTGTCCAAGGGCACAGAATGCTAGATTGAAATCCTGACAATTTAAATTCATGAAACAGGTGGTCTTTGAGGGGTATCTCAGCAAGTCAGCAGTGATGGCCTCAGTCAGTGTTTCAGCTGATGCCATTTGGACCAGCAGCACTGTTTATTCAAAGGCAGGGTGCCAAACAACCCAGGTCCGTGTGTGCAGCTCGAGGGCTCCCAAAAACAAGGCAAAAGTGTGTTGAAAAGCAAAAGGAAGAGAGGAAAAGGGGATTGACGATGTAACCGGACAGCAATATTACCACATTCTCAGTTTTAAAAATGACTCATAGGTAATTATAAGCACACAGTACACTCACAGCTACAGTCCCACTTAGGTTTAATTGGCTACTATTAAATATTGTTTGCAAATTTTAGATGGATATTGCTGTGTAGCTGACAATAGTTAGCTGGATTTGTCAGACTTTTCTGCTTAAGCTATTTTTAGGCATGGAGCCTTCGATACATGTGAGTCACACAGCTGGAGAAGCAGAGGCCAACGAAGCTCACAGCACATGCAACAGGGACAAAGCTTTCAATGGACGAGAAAGTAAAATACAGTTAAAACACAAAACACTGTGTAATAAGACACATAACCTTTTTTCCCCTCACTATCTGACATTAAATGTGACTAAACTGTTCCTGTTGTAGGTCAATTAGGATTACCAAATTTATTTCTATTTGCTAAACGCCGGAATAATGAGATAGAGAATTTTTTATTACTTTTTTTTCAAAGTCAGACGTTTACATCCATCTCCTTCGTATTTGGTAGCATTACCTTTAAACTGTATGACTTGGGTCAAATGTTTTCCTTCCTCAAGCTTCTCACAACAGTTTGCTGGAATTCTGGCCCATTCCTCCTGACATAACTAGTGAAACTGAGTCAGGTTTGTAAGCCACCTTGCTCTCGATAAGTTTAGGGTGATTGTCCATTTGGAAGACCCATTTGTGCCCAAGCTTTAACTTCCTGGCTGATGTCTTGAGATGTTGCTTTAATATTTCCACATAATGTTCTTTCCTCATGATGCCATCTATTTAGTGAAGTGCACCAGTCCCTCCTGCAGCAAAACACCCTCACAGCATGATGCTGCCACCCCCGTACTTCACAGTTAGGATGGTGTTCTCAGGCTTCAAGCTTCCCCCTTTTTCCTCCAAATGTAACGATGGTCATTATGGCCAAACAATTTTAGTTTCATCAGACCACAGGACATGTCTCCACAAATGAAGGTCTTTGTTCCTGTGTGCATTTGCAAACTGTAATCTGGCTTTTGGAGTAATGTCTTCTTCCTCTCTGAGTATCCTTTCAGCCCATGTCGGTACAGGACTGGCTTCACTGTGGATAATGACTCTCTGACCAGCTTCAGCAGCATCTTCACAAGGTCTTTAGCTTTTGTTCTGGGGTTGATACACACATTTTGCACCAAAACACTTCATCTCTGGGACACAGAACCCATCTTCTTCCTGAGCGGTATGAAGGCTGGACATTCCCATGGTGTTTATACTTGCATATAACTGTTTGAACAGATGAACGTGAAACCTTCAGGCATCTGGAAATTGTACCCAAGGATGAACCAGACTTGTGCAGGTCCACAATTCTCTTCCTGATATCTTGGCTGATTTCTTTAGATTTTCCCATGTTGTCCCAACAGGAAGCAGTGTGTTTGAGGTGTGCCTTAAAATACATCCACAGGTGTGCCTCCAGTTAGCTCAAATGCTGTCAGTTAACCTATCAAAAGCTTCCACAGCCATAACATCATCATCTGGGCTTTCACAAATAGTTTGAAGGCATGGTAATCTTAGTGTATGGAAACTTCTGACTTTGAAGAAAGTAATAACAAATTCTCTCTTTCATTATTCCACAGTGTATATAAACTTCTGGTCTTAACTGTATCGTAATACTGAAACGAAAGAGAAGCTGAGCAAAGGAGCTACATGTGCGATGTTCAGTCTGGAGCTTCAACTTCAACGTGGCGCTATAACATCAGTGGAAGAAGTCAACTACAGAGAGATGCGCTAAGGTTGCACATTGAACAACTGTCAGAGTCTGACAGTGGCAGATTACTTCTCTTACAAACAGAGACATTGAAGATTTTACCATCCTTACAACAGCTGCGATGACTGAAATACATATTTACCCTGCGGCATTTGATGAAAGGTTAGGGCTGATAATGGTCCCCAGTTCTGTGGCAGACAGTTTGTATTTGCATTAAAGTCACTTTCACATCTCCACCTTTCTATTTGCGCAGAGTAAAAGGGAAATCGTGAAAGAAACCCATCCTGCCAGAACGCTCTGATTTCTTGTGTTAGTTTGGTTGATGGCTGATGCCAGACGTCAGTCACAGGCTTTATTTCCATCCATTTTCGTGGCTGCAGGATTGACCTGAAAGCTTACAGAGAGCCCTGCATACCTTGATGGTATCCAGAGGTTGACAAGAGCAGATTCCAGCCTCACAACAAAAAATAAAGCCCGTCACATTGTTCCCTAAATGAAGTAGAAATCTCAACAATCCCTGAGAGACTCTGAAAGTAGGTGGCAAATACTCTGACGTCTGAGTAATCAGAATAAAACAGAATAATCCCCACGCTAAGCTGGAAGTTTGGGCAGTCTGTCTCACCCTCGTAGTTTTGCTGAACACGGTTCACTCAGAGTTCAGAGTTTTGAAGAGAAATACACAATTTACATATGAGGAGGAAAATCCCCAA